TTAATATTTAGTATACAAGTCTAATAGAAATGTTGTGGCAGATTATAATGTAATGAAATTAAGAATTTGTTTAAAATTGTTTACCTCAAATTCCTAGAAGATTATATTTATTTATTTACTACATGACAGATACTAAAATCACCTGCACATAAGAAAAAGAAATGTAACTGTCAGAATGCACTCCATTTTTCTATCAACATCCCATTTGATAAATGAAGCAAATGCAGTTAAAAATAATTTTTTAAAGCTCTGATATCCAGTAGTTGAAAATAATTAGATTTGATGGCTATCTTATGTCTTCTTTAATGTTTGGATTAAACCCCCTGTCAATGTACACTTTTTAACCAAGGTGAAAAATATAAACCACAAAAAGGCAAGTCAGTTATCTTAGAAGCCTACATTTTCTACTTGGTTGGCAGGCGTGGCCCTCCCTATAAGATGAATGTGTCAAAATACAGTATTTCTGTCTCTGGTGCTAAATTGGGTTTCCAGCTCAGCATCCCCTAATATCATTGCTGTCACATATCCTGTGGTTCCATAGCTAGAGGTATGTTCTACAGCCTTGAAATCCTTTTGATCTCTGATGCACCTTCATCGTAATATCACTGTCATAAAGCAGAATGTCATGAACAAATTAACAATTAGAAAGAATACATTTGCAGCAACATGAGCATGACTTCTTTAAATAATGAACCTCAAGTTAAAATTAAAGCCAAAAGAGAGAAGAGACTGAAAATGGACGTATGATTTATCTACTTCAGTTTTCCTAGCATACATCAAGCAGAGTCAGTGAATCCCTAGTTATGAACAATTAGAACAATGTAAATATAACAGATTTTCAGAACTCAAAGTATTGTAACCATTTTAAAGAGTGATCACAATGTACCATGATAAAGCATTTAACTGAATTGAATAGTGTCAACATGTACAAAGATTTATAATCACTTTAAACAATCTTTGATTTCCATATATACACAAATGCCAAAATCCATGTACAACAATTCCTCAAATAATGTTATTTCATTCAACATTGTTTCATTACAAACTTGATGAGGGAAAAACAATGAAACAAACACAAAAACCCCGCAGGGACCACTGTTTGTGTGGAGTGTGCACGTTCTTCCTGTGTAGGCATGGGTTTTCTCTGAGTACTCTAGTTTCCTCTAGTATCCCAAAGATGTGCATAGCAGGTTCATCAGTGTGTCTACACTGTCTCAGTCTGAGTGAATGTGTGTGTGTGTGTGTGTGTGTGTGTGTGTGTGTGACTGCAACGGGATGATGTCCTACCCAAGGTTAGTTCCTTTTACTTATAACTGAGACAGAATCTCCTATGTCAACCGGGCTGGAGTGCAGTATCGTGATCTCAGCTCACTGCAACCTCTGCCTCCAGGGTTCAAGCTTCAGCCTTCTGAGTAGCTGGGATTACAGGTGTGTGCCACTACACCCGGCTAATTTTTGTATTTGTAGTAGAGACGAAGTTTCATCATGTTTACAAGGCTGGTCTGGAACCCCTGACCTCAAGTGATCCACCAGCCTCAGCCTCCCAAAGTGGTGGGATTACAGGCAAGAGCCACGGCACCTGGCCCCGTGGTTACTCCTTGCCTTTCACCCTGAGCTGCTGGGATAGGCTGCAGCCAATGGAGACCCTGAAATGAAATAACTGGGTAAAAAATAATTTTACTTGCTTTTATTAATCTTTCTTAAATATGTGTGTGTGTGTGTGTGTGTGTGTGTGTGTGTGTGTGTGTGTATCACATACATTTCAATGTTTAGTATTAGAAGTGTTTTTGGTCTTTATTTTGAAATGTAGTGATGGTTTTTGTGACCAGAAATATGTCCTAGGAACTTAACTCTTGTTTGTATCATTAACCTATGGTAAAACTGCTTTCCTTATACGTTGTTTGCTTAAAGTCGTAGTTTCCAAGAGCCTTTCAAGAACTTTAAATGAAGACTTACTCTATTTACTTTAGTTTCCAACTCCTTCTGGCTTGTAGCAATACAGAAGAGTTATCAGATACACATGTATGTTACATTCAGTGCCTGAAAGGAATAGGATAATCTAGATACAGTGATAAATATTTTTTAAATTCCTGAATCACATATAATTATAGCAATCGACACTATAATAATATATCATGAAATATAGTCCAACAATAATGTAAACATATTAATATGGTTAATGCAAATAATCACTATAAAGGAATGTTTATACCAAAATTCTGTATCTGGAGAAAATAAAAAATTAATGAGAAAAATGTGAGAGTCCAAGCCCCGAATCCTAGGTAATACACAATCTCATTCTAGCATTTCAGCTATAAATCTGTAGGGATATCCAGCCAAAATATAAGAATATATATATTTTTGACTGAATTTATAGCACCCATAGGTCCAGTGTAACAATTGCAGATGATAACAGCTACAAAGAGTTTTATTACAGAATGACTATTAGAAGAAAAACATGGCAACAACAATAACCTAATTCATTCCAAGAAAATGAGATCAAATGGAATTTTGTCTAGTACTTCTAATATTTCAATATACAAGTCTAATAGCAACATTGTGGCAGATTATAATGTAGTGAGATTAAGAAATTGTTAAAAATTATTTACCTCAAATTCCTAGAAGATTATCATATATATTTATTTACTATGTGACAGATACAACAGATACTAAATTCAGAGCTCCTTAAACCTAATTTAAGATTTCTTATTTTGGCCCAGCGCAGTGGCTCATGCCTGTAATCTCAGCTTTTTGGGAGGCCGAGGTGGGCAGATCACCTGAAATCAGGAGTTCTAGACCAGCCTGGCAAGCTACTTGGGTGACTGAGGCAGGAGAATGGCTTGAACTCTGGAGGTGGAGGTTGTGTTGAGTGGAAATTCCGCTACTGCACTCCAGCCTGGATGACAGAGCAAAATTATTTTGATATATCTAAAATTTTTTTTTAAATTATCCTAATTTGGTAATACCTATAATCTTAGTTTCCTTTGCTTCACTCTAATCCCATTTCATCTGCACAGGAAATTTCTTGTTTAAAGAAAGATTTTCAAATTGAAAGGAATCTTTAATTGTAGCACATATAATAGAGGGCAAAATTAAACCACACATTTAATGCTGTTCCTATTGTGACAGTTAAAATTTTTTCATGACTGTGACCCAGAGTATGCATGTAAGAGTGTGAAAATTCATACTACCATTGGTTATCATGTGAAAAACCCACATAAATATTTTTCAGATTATTTATAAATAAAAGTTACTTCTTTAAACTATCATTTTCTTCTTTCGCTGGCACTGGAAGTAATATTGCCTATAGTATCATTCATACTACATATAATGACTAAATTTTGATGTGATTTTACCTTAAGATATCTCTAAATAGAAATTTAGCTATATAAAATTTACATTGAAGGTGTACATATTATTTAATTTTAACAAAAATAATTTAAATTTCTGAAAATATCCATGGGATTGTATTTTTCGAAGTCATTTTACAAAACTATTAATAATAAGATATAATACATTATGATGGAATATTTATCAATATGTAGAGCTTACATGTTTCACTTAGTTGCCCACACGTTATGTCATCTTCTTTTTAATTTAACAAAGAAAATTGTAATTTCAACTATAAATGTGGGTACTAATGCATATGAATATCCATATTCCCACTCAAAAAGTCAGGTAAACTGAAGTTCTCATGTTTTACTATAGGTGGAGTTATTTACTATAGGTGGAGTTATGCAAGTATATATTTTATAATGGAAACAATATAAATGTATAAATATTAACATATATTCAATATAAAATTCTTATTTTGGAAGGAAAATTATTAAAGCGTTTGTAAAAGAAAAAAATGGGTATTTAAAAAACAAAGATTTTTTTAGTAGTATTCCAATATTTTTAAGGGTAAAAGAAGTGAGAACTTTGAAATATATGAATCTTAAATAGAATGTTAAAGATTAAAAGATGCGGATATAAAGTCAAACTGCTTCACAATCTCAAAGTATACATTCTCCAAAGTATACAAACTGATGAGAGTAAATACTTCATCATCTAAGTACTCATCAAGTTTAGAATAAAGTTTAGAGAGAGAATGAAGAATATATATTTTGCTATCAAAATAGCTAAAACACTTCTAAAATTGTGCTGTTATAAGTGAAACTCCAATGCCTCTTTACTTATGCCTCTGGTTTTCTGATGTTCTGTTTAACATAACATGCAAATTGAAAGTTAAAATTATTTTTTTTACCTCAAATATGAATACAGGTAAAATTTTCACAGCAAATAAAATTTCCCAAAATATAATTGATGTATAAAAATCTTAGAAAAATGTCAATATATATTCATAAATATTGCACCCTTTAGTCATGGTGCCTTATGACAAAATGCAATGATATCTTAAAATATTAAAACTCTTCCACTGAAATATACATGCAGTCAGCCACAGAGAAAAATGTGTCACTGTGTAGGCAACTGTCCTGTGGAATGTATTATTCCATCTGGATTACTTTTTCCCTCGAGGTAACATTCTCATTAAAAAGATGAACTCATTTTCTACTCCAGGGGAAAATACATAGTACCCAAAAAAGCTTTCTAAATAGATAAACTTCTCACCAGATTTAACAAAACCAGGAGCATATTTGTTGAAAATGCCGGAAGATTTCACTTGGATCTCCATTAAGGCATACCCTGAACTTTAAAATGGTAATGTAAGTGCAGAACAGCAACAATTACTTTTCATATTATTTTTGAAAAATGTAACCAATTATACTATCAAAGCAAAATAAATAATTACAATTAAAGCCTGGGAAATGAGTTTTATGCCAAAATTCTCTATTTCTACTTTCATTTTTTTCTTAACTATCTGAACTTAATTATAACAAACATAGACTAAAAGGGAGCCATTTGGAAAATATTTTCCATGTTTAATATATATTTAGATATCATTAGTAGCATTCTAATGGCCTTCTAAAAATTTTCATGCCAAAGTACTAAACACTCACCTGATATCCTTATTGACATTTGAGACATCTTTGCAGATTGTCAAGATAAATGGCGTTATGATGGAGCACACAACCAGTTTATGATATTCACTGAATTCACCTTGGTCTGTGGACATCTATAAGTACATATTTGTAAATCTATTAGGTGCTTACTTAATGCTAGGTACAATTATAGAATATGGTGATAGATAAAACCATTATCCCAACTGTCTGTTTGTTTTTACTATATTTATATAGTAAATACTAAATGAAGTACTACCTATTTTTTGTAGATTGTGTTTGGCCAGTTAATTAGAAAGAAAAATTTGTGGTCAAAATAATTCTGGATTAATTATCTTGCATGGAATCGAAACAACCTTTGTAAAGAACAGTGCAAACGTTCTAAGTTGTAAGATGATATTCACTAAGACCTTTTTATTAGGTGTGAGTACCAGCTTGCTATACTTCTAAAATCTTTTAAGACATTAGTTTTAATGTACTAAAGTTTCTGTTCATTAATAGAGAAGGTAATGATTTATTTATTATGTTTATAGTGGACTTGTCATTGCTACAATTTTAAATTTTAATCATTAGAATTATCTGTTTATAACACTGTGTAAAGATTCCTCTAAGCATCTGAGGAGGAGCTCAGATTGTCACTGAGAATAGTAAATAGCAATAGTAATAATATTTGAAACTGTTAGAAATCGTTTTATCATTGGATTAACAGTCAAATTTATACCACAGCAGATAAAAGGAAATTAGAGCAACTTATATTATTAAACATTAGGTAGACGATCGGCTGCTAAATTTAGAATATTAAAATGATGAACGATACATTGTATATTAATTGTACCTTTTCCAATTAACTCTGCAAAAAAAGACCAAAGATTTTCCTTATATATTGTAAGTATGCTCAGTATTGTTTGAATTAAAACTAAAACAATGGAAATTACCTCACATATAACTTCAAAATGTGCAAACAAAATAAGCAAATAAAAAATTAACATCTAATTTAGAAATATCACTTAATTTTTTGAGAAATACTGATCATATATCTTGCTAAATGTACTGAAAGCTCAGTGTTATCATTTTAAAAGGTAAAAATATGTAAGAAAGTTAATAAAACTAAACTAGTAATTTCTTTCTTTTTCAAAGGTGTACTTTTAAAGTTGCTGCTAATTTTCAACAAACATTACATTTTGTAAAATAAAAGTTAATGGAGAAATTAAAGAATATATTTTAAACTAAGTATTTTACAAATATTAGACACATACATAGTAAGATAAAGATGTTTTCATCTAAAAGATACAATCATACCTTTCATAGCTATATAATGTAAATAGCAGTAATAATTAATTATTGTGTTGCTGATTTTAGACTCACAAATACATACACCTAGTAGAGAAAACTTACAGTCTAAATTTATTTCAGCTATTCTTAAACCAAGTTCATTGTATTCATTTTTACAAGTTTAAATTAAAGCAGAGACACAGAGAAAGTTGTCAAAGGACACACCATCAATCTGTGGTGGACAATGAAACTTAATAACAGAATCACCATTTTGCCTTTAGCCATTGGCTACCATTTGATAAAAATAACAGCAAACATTTTGTGACTCTTACTTCCCCATTTGAGGCACAATCTATACTTTCAGTGAGGCAAAAAACTAAGGTGATGATGGCTGAACCAAATCAACAATGAAAAAAATATCCAACTAACAATATATTTATATAGTAACATATATATATATATACACATACATATATATTTGTGTATATATATATACACATACATATATATATATGTGTGTGTGTGTGTGTGTGTGTGTATATATATATATATATATATATATAAAGCTAAGTAACATTTTGTTATCAAAATCATAGGGGAAATAAAATCCAAAATTATTTTAGATAGTGTGTCAGTTTTCTTTCTCAAGAAAAAAAAAATCTTAAAAGGAAACAAACATATCCAGAGAGTTTGCAATTTTGATTACATTATCTTTTACTTCCTGTAGGTATATATCTATTTACAAATAACCTATCATACACCCAATAAGCAATAGTGAAGAAAATATTTATTGTACCCATTATTTTGTTCAAGACATTGAATAAAACTGGCAATTTTGTCTTCCCCATTTAAAAAAGTTTTGGTCCTAATTCTATTGGATCAGATTTTTCTAGTTATGCCTGTCATTCTAAAAGTGATTCTCATAATATCTGATGTTTCACATATTTCCATTGAATTGACCATTTGCACTTTTGTCAAGTATATTAGCAGTTGAACAATTTAGGAAAAGCTTCTGGTGTATGCTGTACGCTGCAATTATACTTTTCCTTCTCTATTCACATACCTCTTAAGTTACCTCTACCACTTCTCTTATGCTGTCCAAGGGCTGTGGGGGACAGTGCATTTTACAAAATCACCTAAACAGGAATAATTTCTTCTCTGGGAGACTCCAAGAAATACATTTATATTTCAAATACAATATTAAGATACAACAAGCCAGCTCCTCCTTTTAATGTAAAATTATTTGTTCTGGTGTTTCTTATAGTTTTTATTTCCTTAATATGAATCGACATAAAATTTGCTACCTCATATATCACACATAAAGCTTTTGATAAACTCTGAGCTCCCCAAGAACAATACATAAAAATCCATGATTATGAGAGATACATTTTAATAGTAGAGGATGAAATTTTATTTAAACATGCTTCAAAGTTAAAATACACTTATAGTCTAGCTGATAATATGAAATTATATGAAGTTTCTAGGTTAAGACAATATGGAAATATGGAAGCTGTTCATCTAGGCTAAAAGCATTTGAATTCAAAATATTTTTTTAAGGAAATAAGGCTGTTCTGATCAAATAAAAAGATTATTAAGGAGTTAACACATGAGTCACCAGTTGGAAAGAATTACTAAGGGTTTATAAGCACAAAACAGTGGCATTTTGTAAACTATATGATCTACCCTGTCAACAAAAGTGTATAATTTTAAATATGCTAAAAAAGAATTTGTCGCCTTTATTTTTTTAGATATTGTATGTTTAGAATTACTAATCAATGACAAGTTCATAATGACAATTTAAAATCCCCATCCCTTATTCCCATTAAGTCCTGCTTACATAGTTCTTGATTGTCATGTTAGAAATTGAATTGTCATATTTTTATTTTAATAATGTGGGGATGTCACTAATTTGAGTTAGGATATTCTTAAAATTAATTTGTTAGTAAAATAAAGAGATACATCATCATCTTTTTTTTCATTTTTTTCAAAAAAACAAGGAGGTGGGAGGCAGTGGTAGAATGATTCAGTTGTGAGAATGAAAGGCAATGATAGAGACCTTTTTCCATATGTCTAACCTTGGACGCAGAGCTTCTAAATTAAGAGAATAGGCCAAAAACACAATAGGACAGCAGATGACTGAAGTACATTGCTAAGCAAAAAAATACCTTTTCTGGGGTAAAAAGTTATAAGGAAGATGGAATTCAGTTGTTAAATTAAAAGTCAACACTGTGAAAGACAGGAAATTATTAATTTCCTAAAATGGTTACTTTTATACAAAGACCTTCTTTAAATAATTTTTTAAAATCTTGGAAAGGATATTTAAAATTTATAATCTGAAAACTCAATAATTATCTTTTAACATACAAATATCAATTTCCAGTGCGATACTAGATTTCCATTTCAGAATTAGGGATCTTTCATCATAACTGAGTAACAAGTATATCACTTGATTGAATGGTTTTAAATGACAGTCTGGTGAATAATTCTGAATATTCTCTAAAATGAGTAATTTATAGATCTCAGCATTCTTATTTGGATGCATATATATATATATATATATTCATGTTCACTAGATTTAAAAATTTGGAGATGATTATAAAATTGAGGTATATCATTTTAAAAAATTACAGTTTAGCTAGTGGTAGTTCATAACTGTATATTTTAATATTAGGTACCTAAATGCTAAACAAAAAGAAAAATATGAAGAAACCTATCAAGCATAATTATATATCTTAGGAAAGTTTAACAAGGGCAGATTTCAGCTATATAAAGAAAACATGTACCATTAACTTTATATTTTGAAGTGGAGGTTTAAAGTAGATATTAAAACTCAAGATTTCAATAAATTTGATAGCTATAATTTTTTCACTATTGTTAGAACTTTCAGAGTGAAACACCCTTTTGACTTTGGATATTAATATAGCAAAAAATATTCCATGTTTATAAAGTTAAAAGCATAATTTTTCTGTGGATAATTTATGTAAATATATTATTACAGGTGATATACATTTATTGGTCAAGTTTTCACTTTTATATATCAATTATTCTATTTAGTATATAAAATTTTAGTCTGCATGACACTGATGAACTTCTCGTGTATGAAACAGGCTAGTCAAAGTATTATAGTATCCTAAAAGAAATTTGCTAATCAATTAACCTGGAGTTACTGCCACCCTTCAGATTTTATTTCAATAGGCAGATATTAAATTGAAAATATACAGCAAATTTGGTTGCAATAGCCATTATTAACCGTTGCTTTTAATGAATTATACAGTAAGATTTTTGAAAAGTGTGCTAGTTGAAAATGCTAGAAATGATCACTAGTGGTAGAAATGAATGTGTGAGTAAAAATATAAAACACGTACATGCCTAAACACCAAAAACCAACAGAATTTTGCTGCTTGTATAAATATAAATGAATATAAATGATTCAATATTCAAGTATTACAATCAAGAAATAATTGAACTTACAATATCTTGAAAAAATTCTTGAAATACACAATCTGCATATAAATTTGTTCAATGTGGACCAGGTATAAATGAATCTTTAAAATAAAGCCATAATCTGATCTATGCATACATTAAATTAAAATTAAAAATGACAAAAATGAAAAATATCCTTCAAAACAATGGTTCATAACTTCCACTTTTAGAACCATTATATTTTAAAGTATACACATGTCTATTTTATAGTAGAAATATACAGTATTTCTTCATGATTAATAATAAAGATGCCTAATAAAAAAAAACTCTGTAAGATTTCTATTCAACATATCTCTATGAGTGTTACTTGACTGTTACTCTCCTCTATAAAATGACTTTCCTAACATCTAATAAAAATGTATCTGACATACTTAGCATTGTGCAATATATCATAACATTTTTGTTTTGATCACTAATAGAAAATAAAAAATCAAATGATTTTATATATTTATAACATTAATTTTCTATAAAATATTTCTATTTTAATATTCAGAAGATTTTTATAGGAAACAATCTAAGTCTCTCAAACTTAGAGTTAAATGTTGTTCTTTTAATACTAGTACAGTTTTTATAATACTAGTACAGTTACCATGAGAAGTATTTGACCTGTGCCTAGCAAGCCGTGGTCTGCTAGAACCAGAGGAAGAAACAGAAAGTATTATATTATTGTCACATTCAAAAATTTTACTGCATGAAATTTTCTGTCCCCAATCTAACATTCCTAAAGCATGAAAATAAAAGTATAATTTGAAATACTTGAAAATATCAAAATGTAAAAAAACGTGGGAAAAAATGTGTATGTGATGACTCACAATATATCTATTTTTGTATGTCATATACATGCTACATATATTCATGGAAATACATATGATTAGTTATAGAAAGGCATTAAGTTGAATTGAAATTAATAATAATAACGTACAGCTGTCAAATGCAATATCAATGAATATAAAGTTTATCAGCGTATAGATGTTAGATACGTATTTTTAAGCACATGACTAATGTCTGCCTAGCTACTTTAATCTTATTCTCACATACCTATTCACAATAGTAGAGACCTCAAAGGATTTGTGGAAACTTATGCATAAATAAAACGGTTAATATGATAGCAGCTTATACTTTTGCAACATTTTATTCTCTTTGAAAATTAATTAATTAACTCTGCCTGGCTTCTAGTATTTAAATCGGTTGCTTTGATGTTTCTAGTTCCTTTTTCTTAGTGTAAAATTTATTCTTAAAAGTAGTCATTCCAGGTATCTTGACATACCTGCAAATGTTTTAATTTGGAGCCCTCTGCAAAGTGCAAGAAGAGCACATTTCCAAATGAATGGACAGAATACTTGTGATCCACTGTACTGTCATTAATCTGGAGTCATGTGACTTTGGTAAGCCTTTATGGAACTCTTGAAATTAAATAGCCAGCTTTTGACATTTCAAACTGGTACTAAGCTATTTTCACTTTTTCCCTTATCTTATTGAAAAATAATGAAGAAAAAAATGGAAAAAGAGAGTAGGAAGGAGGGAAGGAGGAGATATAAGGAAAAAAGAAATAACAGACTAGGAAAAAGAAAATTATAAATATTAATTTGAATATTTTGCCAACAACACAAGGTAGTAACACAAATATAATTCATACATAAGGACATAAACTGCAATCTTGGATCCAATTCTTAAACTGTAACTTTTTTCACAGTATGTGAAAATGTTCTCATTATAAACTAGTTTGATTTTCTTGTTAGCATTAAGGGAACAGTGGTGAGGGAGAGACTTAGGTACCCAGGAAATTTGTCAAAAACTTCCACTTTTCATGTGTAAAGGCGATAATCTTGACTAAACAAAAGACATGTCCCAAGTCTGCTATCTATTCTAAGGTGGTTTAACTTACAACTTCAATCAATAGTTTAGCTGTAATTAATTTTTTATATTAGCATACAAATTATCTACATTTACTTGGAATATATTTATTTTCTCTT